AACCAATAAAAAAACCCTCCAAAATGTCTATCTTCTAGCTTTAACCATTTCGTCTGGGCGATGATCTACCGGTCACTCACTTATCTCTTAGCTCTTTTTTATATATTCAGATTAGTCATGTGACCTCCGTCGTATCATCAATATTTGAACACTACTTACCTTAGCTGAATAATGACTATATGCCGTTGTGCCATTATTTCATTTTATTCAGAAGGTTTTGGCTTCTGTTCTTGTTGTTGTTGTTGTTTCCAATTATCATTCCAGATAGAACTTAAACCACCGAATAAATTGAACATTGGCATTGTATCGGAATTATTGACATTTAAGCCAATTCCATTACTGTTGTTGACGGTATTATCAAAAATTGTTGTTGCTGTTGAAGTGGATGTTGGGGCCGAAATCGAAGTTGACACGCCGCCATTGTGTGTGTTGGTAATCGGAACATCGGTATTCATGGGAAATTGTTGACTATTGACAAAATGTTGTTCAATGCTGCTGGATGATGGTGTTGTACTCCATGTAGAGGTGGATGTAACGGCGCCGCCAAAAATATCAGCATTCGAATGGCTGGGTAGGGTTGGTGATAAATCTGCAACACCATTACCCAAAAACGGGGTCCAACCTGAAGACGATGTTGCGGTGTTGGCCGACGACCAGTTGTTGTTCAATGCCGATTGATTGAAATTCAAATAGTGTTGTTGTTGCTGCAGCTGCTGTTGTTGTTGTTGCAATAGGAATTGCTGTTCCAATTGTTGTAGTCTCATGATTTCATGTGCCTTGATAGCTCTCAATTTGGCAGCTATATCAAAATCATGTTGTTGCTGCTGCTGTTGTTGTTGCTGATGCTTTGCGGCAGCATTGGCTGCAGCAATTTGTTGTATCGTTTGGCGAGCTGTCAACAAATCATTCAAACCATAATTGGGGCAACTGTGCAAATCATAGGGTAGGCTGGGTGGTGGTGGTGGTTGTGAAGTAGTTGTCAGGGTTGTATTCAATGGCCGCGGTAATTGTAAAGTTATGGCACTGTTCAATGTCTCCCAGGCGGGAGTTGAGGAGGGTGATTTCCTGGAACCAATAGGGCCCAAATCCGTCTTAGAAGGTCCATCGTTAAACTCAAGTGGGGAGGCGGCAAATGGCAAATTAATTGGCCCGGATGATGCTGTTGACGGTGTGGGGGATGCAGTTGAAGTGGGGTTATCGAACATCTTTAAATCACTATTGAGCAATGTGGTTCCTGTCGAGTTGGCATTAGCATTGGATTGGGCATTGGCAAATTGTTGGGTCTGTTGCAGAACATCGCTAAATGTTATGTGGCTGCTATAGTCCCAAGGCGATAACACATCCTGATGAAATGTTTGATCATTGTGATCGTTGGCCGCTGCTGCCATTTGTGAGTAGACAGAATTCGCATGACTAAAGTTTTGTGTGGGAAATTTAAGAGAATTCGAGACCCTGCTTTTGGGTTTACGTTCGAAACGTTTAACTGTATTGTGTTGCTGCTGCGGCTGTTGGTGTTGAGGTATGGAACTGGAGGATGTAGACGACGTTGAGGCCGACGAACAAGACGATGTTGTGGGTGAGGTATTTTGTGTGGTTTGCTTTCGCCGTTCACGTCCTGGTGTCTTGCCCAGCTTGCGACCATTTGTGGTTTCCTTGGGAATTGGTGTTTGATGATTGGTTATTTCGGTCATTGGCATTACATGGCTGGTGGTGGTTGTGGGGCTCACTTTGTTCGTATTCACTGTAGGCCCTGAGGATGGTATACTAACGGGGGGAGGTGTTTTAACTTGACGTATTGTCGTTGGATCACTGTGTGTTGTATTGGAACTGGTAGAATCCAAAGATCTTCTTTGTTCTTTTGAAGGCATAGGTTCGGGACTAGATGTGTTTTTATTTGTGGTATTTTTTGTTAAGGCTTTACTTTCTTTTTTCACCTCCTTGTTCGTGGGGGGTACATCTTCTTTGGACTGTTTGACTTCTTCGTCGCGGGGCTTGCTAACAATTTTTTCTGTTACCTTTGTGGGTTTCTTGGCGGAGACTGTCGGCTGTGCCTTTTTCAAATCCTCATCCATTTTTTCCACCAATGATTTTTCGGTTAATTTATTTTTACAATTTTTCACATCATTTGTAGCTGAAGAGGAATTCGTTGTTGTGGTCACGCTGGAGGACGCTGAGGGCGTCGAAGTGGCCACAGTAGCTTCCTTGTTCTTATTCAATTTATTTGCTTTTCTAGAGGTTTTGCTTCCAAAAGTCCAGCTAACCATTTCCGCCAGCGTCATTTTGGGTAAGGCAGAAAAAGAACTTGACGCCGAGGAGGAGGACGATGATGATGACACAACGGCCTCACCATTTGCTATTCTTTGATTCTTAACGCCACCCACGTTATTCCTCTTCTTCAAGCCACTTTTATTTTTCAATGTCATCTCCACATCGCCGGTCTGGGAACTTTCATTATTATTCTGTCGCATGGCTATGTTTCTTAAATTAAATGTTGGATGTATTGTCCCCTTTTCCCGGGCTCCATATAACGCGGCCTGGGTATACATTATATTGCCATAGTCTATGTGAACGGCAATGAGGACCAGAACGAAAGTTATTATTAACATAATTATGGTGGCATTGCGTATTTTCTCTTCCCATGGTGGTCGCGGCAATAAGGCTGTACACTGCTCCATGCCTTTGGAAGGCAGTTGGGCGACTAACACATAATTTACGGCATAGGTGAGATTTGTCCTCAGTGTAAGGGGTTTTGTAATGCGGGTCGCCGTGAAATCTGTTTGAAATTGAATTTCAATTGTTTTCGTTGAATTCGCCTTGAGTTCAAAACTTTTACAGTCCATTATTTGAAAGCCATAGCCACGACAGGGTTGATCACCAATCCAAATGCTATCAATCCATATTGGTAGTTCGCCAGAATTGCGAGCGGTAAAAACGCGTCTTGAAATAATCTGGAAAAGATAAAGTTTTTGAGGTTGTGGCGATAACAAAAAATCTACAAAAATAATTCTAATACCTGAGGATGTGTCATCCCGGCCGAAGGTTTATCCTCTTTACTTGGACATGCCGCCGTTAACTGCTGCTCAGTGATCTCAAACAGCAATGGTGTGGGTGATCCCGGTTTACGATTCCCCAAACGAAAATGTGATTGCACAGCCTTGGCACTGATCCATGTACCTTCGTAGAGCGTTAAATTATTGCGTATATGCAACAGGGTACAATAGCTACCCATCGAGGAGGCTTTAAATGTTATCGGCACTCGTATGGAGGTGAGACCGGGTATCAAAATCGGTTTACTGGGCGCTGGATTGACCAATGAAAACACTGCCTTATCGGTTAAATAACAAGTCGGCGTTATTATGATCACCTCCAGTGGCAGGGTGAATTGAGTTTGATGTGCCAATTTTGGATCGGCCAATGAATAATCAATCAGTATCGGTCTATCTGAAGGATTTGAAATTTTCACTTCAAATACCTGGGTTTTATTCACCTCCACTGTGGGTATAACTTGTCGCGTCGGTATCAACTGGGGCCATTGTATTTCAATCATAAGATTTAGATGGAAATTCTCCTCCTGCTTAGTGGTCATGATAAAATCTAAATTTTGAAAATACGACTTAAAATGACGATATAATTCTGTGCGTCTTCGCAGTTCAACTTCATCGAAATGTGGCATATTGAGGATTTTATCAACCTGGGGACTGTGGGGAAAGGTAGTGGACTCATCTGTATGCTGGGGTATGTAGCACCGATTGCCACACAATGCTGAAGGTTCAAAATAGATGCGACCCACAGTTGTAACAGAATTGGGTGAAATTATCGAACCCTTTGAACTTCTATCCACAAATCGTAGACCCGGATCACTGAAGTTAATATGTTTCATATGTATGGCCTGATCGAAGCTGGATCGTATACTCAGTTCGGAGGAACAGATTTTACCCTAAAAAGAGAGTAACAACAATAAAATAATGAATGAATGAATTAAATAATTATCTATGTTTGACTCACCGGAAAACAATTGGCAAAATGTAATTTCTCTTGATCCACCTCCAGTTTACCAAAGACCACATCAAAATTTAACGTCACCGTAATATTCTCATGCGATGTGGCTATACTCAAATAGGCTGTACCCGATATGGAATATGGCATCAAAGCCACCTCAAACACTGCCACATCACCTTCCTCCAATACGGAATCCAAACGATAACTATGTTTCTCCAAGTCTATTGCATAATCATTGCTTTCATTTATATCCATGGCTCGAATAGACCCGGCAAATTTAACCGCATAATAAATACCCGATGTCTTTTGAAAATCCCAATTATTCAGATTAATGGGTATTGAATTACGATTTTGCAAAACGATATAACCTTTGTGAGAAATATCACGAAGGGGTGCGGAGGAAATTATTTGTATTTCTTTGGTATAAACGGAATTTTTTGAGCGCCATAATGACGACGTCTGTGTGGTTACAAACAAACTTGTAGAGCTTACAACAATGGGTATTTGGATTGGATTCGATATATTCGTATAAACATAAATGGCAGTCTTATAATTTCTCAGTAGATCTTTGAGATCTTCCTCTGGTTGTTCTACGGGGTTTTGTTGTATTGTTGTGGCCAATCTAAAGGCCACAGTTAATTCCATGGTAGCTGCGGGTTGCAATACCACCACTGCATCACTTTCACTTTCTCCCTTTTGCAGTAGGGGGTTCTGCTGCAGGTATAAATTTAGCTTGGAGCTTTCATTGAACCCAGTTGTTATATTGTAAATTAATAAAGGAATTTGATAATCATTACGCAGCACTATGTGTCGGGGCTCATCCAAATTTGTACATTTTAAATGAGATAATGCCTCATCCGATGTGGCATTATCGCATCTTTGCGAACTACTACCATTCCAACTTAGTTCACGATCCAAAAATAATGTTGATTTTCTGTCATAATACAATGAACCCTTGTACACATTAGCCCGTACTATAAGTTCCACATTGTGATATGTATGCCCCGACGTCGCCGAAGACGACGCTGCTGCTGTTTTTGTTCTTTGTTTCAAGACTAATTTTAATTTTTCATTTAGATGTGTTACTGGCTCATCCTGTATCGCAATATTTGGATCGAAGGCAATTGTGGAAATATCAATATTTCTTTTTTCACTGCTGCTGTCGTCATCTTGGCCATTTTTTGAGGCCATCATAATACCCTTGGTTAGCGTAAGAGATTCAAATTCCAAATTTTGTATATCCAATTGATGTTTGGAATGCCGTAGGGAAAGTTTTTGTTTAATTGGTTGCTGTTGTTTGTCGTCCAAGGCAATATAACCAAAATCGATGACCGGATTAACAGCATATATACCATATTCGGATAATATTACAAATTCCACTGGTATAACCAAGACTTGTTCTTTTAAAGCGGGGGAGATTGTGGACGATGTGGATTGACTGCTGCTGCAGTCACTTTGGGAGGTGGGTTCGGCAATTTTTATACGTATATAGGCTGAATGTTTGCCCGCAGTATAACCCTGAAAACGTATACCTATAATGGGTTTCGTACTATATGGTGGTATCTCCCATAGACCGTGTGGTCCTTCGGAGTCTCCGCTTGGTAATTCTAATTTAAATTTTCCACCACTGCTGTAAATCTGAAAACGAGGAGAAAAGATGATTAAGGAATTATTAAATAGAAAAATTTTATAGAACAAGTAAAAAATAACGTCGTCTATATAACCAGGACCCTTTATGGGCCGATATTGTTATTTTTTGTTAGGAAGATTTAATATCGAATGAGAATCAAACATAATAAATTATAGCCAATACGGCAAAAAACGTGACCAAGGTACCGAATAACGGGGTACCTTTGTATGAAGGCTATACCAAAATGTAGACCATGTGTAAACTAAAGCCAATTCGTTGGAAAAAGTGCCCAATATACTAAATATTGAGGGGAGCCGTTGTATGTTGGCACCATCCATTTCATCTATAAGCATTCAAAAAATATTATGTTCAATTTGTTTCAATAAATAAACAAAAAAATTAAACATCAAATTATTACTCATAATGTGATCATCTCAAATAAATGCTGTTGTGTCCCCTTCGAAATAAAAGTTTGGTATAATTATTTATATTATTTTTTTATTTAGATATTCATTGCAATGGGAAAGAGGGAGGAGTGGGCCATTGGAGTCGTCATCTATAAATATCTCAATAAACAACGAACATTTGTTTATTTAAATTTTCACCACAGCTATAATTGTTAATTATTGCCTGTGTTCACTCGCTTTTAGTACATGCATTTGCATTTAAAAGATCTGGAAACGTGTCTTAATTTTCTGAAGAGTGATGACAACGTTCCCGGCTTTTTTTTATTATCACAAACATTCAAATTTATATATGTACAAATCTCAACAATTAAGTATTTATTTATTTACTTTTTTATTTTATTTATTTATTTTATTTATTTTTTTTTTTTTTTTGTATTTTTTGGCGAGGGTAGTAGGTAGTTTGGTTATCAAATAGATAACAAAGTTGATAAGTAAATTCAAAAGTAAATGAAATCGAAACAGAGGAGAGGATAGGAGATGAAAAGGGGACACACACATGAATATGCAATATTTGGATAAAAATGCAATGAATTAAAACAAAAAACTCTTTTATATGCTCAAATCACTTGTGAAACCAACGGATTCTATGGATGGAGTGATGAAAAGGCATTGCATTATGGTACAATAGCTATATTTCAACTTACCTCCAATATTTGCAATGCTCTTTCATGTGGATTATACATGTGTATCATGGGCATTAAGGTGGCATTTAACGGTGCCCGTATGCCAACCAATGGTTTTAGCCGATACGGACATTCACGCACCTCGCCGCTCACCATTAGCAAGAGCTTTCCAAACGATGTGTGCAGGAATAAATTTGATCGAACAGCACCATTTTCCCTGGGTAAAAAGACCACATCAAATGTTGTATTACCATTCGGTGGCACAGTTTTAGCTTCAAATAAGCTACTATAAAATGACGGAGTTCCGCCCGTTACCAAACTAAGATAAACACTGTGGTTACGATTTTGATTGACGAGAGTGACGGTATGCGATTGTACTGTTCCCACAGACAATGCACCAAAATCCAATTGTGATGGTATGAAACGTAAACGATTTAATAATTCTGCATTTAGATCACCGCTATCGGGAATGCCCATTACACTGCCACTACCACCACCACCACCGGTATCTGTTATATCTTGAAGTGTGGCTGTTGCTGCTGCTGCTGATTGTGTATCCAAGTGATGGCCATCATCATGTTTTAAATTAGCAGCGGTGTTGCTATTTTCCGAAATTGAAATATCCACTTCACTGGCGGCGACGACGTCGGCGAAACCACACAATGTAGTTGTAAGAAAAGCTAAAACTAGCATTGATAACCACAAGCGTTGATAAGAAAACATTGTCGCCGTATGTCGTTTGTCTTTGTGTGTGTTTGTATTTTGAATTATATTTTGGTTGATCGACGATATTATTGTGGGGTTCTTCTTTTTTGCCCTTTCCTGCTGCTATGGTGTTTTTATTTATTTATAAACACCAAATTCCAAAAGGCAAAATTTCTATTTCAAAATGCCTGCTGCTGTTGCTACTCCACCTTTGAAGTAGACGATGATGATGCCTTTTGCGTTGTTTTTCTCCTTCTCGTCGTCTGCTGTGGCTGCTCCTTTTTATTTCAAAATAATAAAAACTCACAACACAACACACATCCAACCATACTTCGTCTGCAATGCCCAACAGGATGATTATGATGCGGACGGGGATAATGATGATTACGATTTGTACTCCTCTTCTAACGTTGACAAGCGTAGAATCACCGCTGCTGCTGCTGCCGATTCTGCTGTTGATGATGATACCGATGATAATTATGTTTTTGTTCTTCCTTTTTGCGATTTGTTCTTCTTCTATTATCTTCTGTTTGCTGCTGTGATTCCGTCCTCGTTGCGTTGGTCTTCTTGCTGTGATATTCATTAGAGGATGAGGAATTCTGCAGTCTTGTTTACCCGTCGTTTCCTTTTTGTTGTCTGGTACTTTTGTACGTAAAATTGTGTTGTTGCTTGGCGTTATATCAATCTGTAGGCGACAATTAGCAAATGTTTTTGCATAATGGTTCCTTTTTTAAACAAATAAATAAATAATCGTCAATTTTTTTGTACGTCCAATAGGGTTATGTAGATCGACGTTTTATTTGTCAAAAGGAAACGATAAACGAGAAATCGATTTGTTGTTCGATATTTGTATATGAACTATTGGTCTGTTCCCGTAATGCAAGAATCTACAATTTTTTACTACGATAACACTTTTTTCCTTTATGATATCGGAAAAAATAGTAAAAACTCGTAGATTCTTGCAGTACGGGAACAGACCAATTTATTGATGGTTTCTCTGGAATTGTTATGACATTTTTATACCCTTCACCACACTGTGGTACAGGGAATTATGTCTTTGTGCATATGTTTGTAACAGGCAAAAATAATCGAGATAGACGCATGGTTCCTTTTGAGAATATGCGTAGAATCACTTTCTGAGTCGATTTATGCATGTACGTCTGTCCGTCCGTCCATGTATTTTTGTGAACAAAGTACAGCTCGCATTTATGATCCGATTTGGATGAAATTTGGCATATGTCACTTATTTGGCCCAAGGACGAACCCTATTGAAATTGGAGAAAATAGGTCCACACATAGATATAGCTCCCATATATAGTTTCGCCCGATTTAAGGTAAATGGTGTACCAAAGTCCCTATATATCTTTCGATTTGCACGAAATTTGGTATAACCTACTGAATTAGGTCTAGAATAATATGTGCTAAGTTTCGTGAAAATCGGTTCAGATTTAGATATAGCTCCCATATATAGTTTCGCCCGATTTTAGGTAAATGGTGCACCAAAGTCCATGAAAATTATTTGACTTGCACGAATTTTGGTGCACCATTTACCTAAAATCGGGCGAAACTATATATGGGAGCTATATCTAAATCTGAACCGATTTTCACGAAACTTAGCACATATTATTCTAGACCTAATTCAGTAGGTTATACCAAATTTCGTGCAAATCGAAAGATATATAGGGACTTTGGTACACCATTTACCTTAAATCGGGCGAAACTATATATGGGAGCTATATCTATGTGTGGACCTATTTTCTCCAATTTCAATAGGGTTCGTCCTTGGGCCAAATAAGTGACATATGCCAAATTTCATCCAAATCGGATCATAAATGCGAGCTGTACTTTGTTCACAAAAATACATGGACGGACGGACAGACGTACATGCATAAATCGACTCAGAAAGTGATTCTACGCATATTCTCAAAAGGAACCATGCGTCTATCTCGATTATTTTTGCCTGTTACAAACATATGCACAAAGACATAATTCCCTGTACCACAGTGTGGTGAAGGGTATAAAAATGTCATAACAATTCCAGAGAAACCATCAATAAATTGGTCTGTTCCCGTACTGCAAGAATCTACGAGTTTTTACTATTTTTTCCGATATCATAAAGGAAAAAAGTGTTATCGTAGTAAAAAATTGTAGATTCTTGCATTACGGGAACAGACCAATAGTTCATATACAAATATCGAACAACAAATCGATTTCTCGTTTATCGTTTCCTTTTGACAAATAAAACGTCGATCTACATAACCCTATTGGACGTACAAAAAAATTGACGATTATTTATTTATTTGTTTAAAAAAGGAACCATTATGCAAAAACATTTGCTAATTGTCGCCTACAGATTGATATAACGCCAAGCAACAACACAATTTTACGTACAAAAGTACCAGACAACAAAAAGGAAACGACGGGTAAACAAGACTGCAGAATTCCTCATCCTCTAATGAATGAATTTTTGAAAAACTCCTTAAAAGTTGAACTTGGGTCCATTATAGTCCCTCTCCAAACAGGACCCAAATGATAGACCACAATTTGCCCTTTCCAAAATGGTGCGATATGTGGCTGTATCTGTTGTGGATCAAAAGATATGGGCCTTAGAACCCTATAAAACAAGGAAAATCTTTCTACATGACAGAATCTCCTTTTAAATAGCATGGTGTTTTTTGGGTGACCGGCCTTCGGCCGGGGATTTAAGACTTTCTCCTATGGACAGATGCCAACACCGGCTAACGCGGCAGAAACTCCTTCTAAATAGAATATTTTTTTGTGTAGGCGGCCTTCGGCCGGGTATTTAAGACTTTCTCCTATGGACAGATACCAACACCGGCTACGCGACAGAATCTCTTGTTAAATGGAATACTTTTTTGGGTGAACGGCCTTCGGCCGGGAATTTAAGACTTTCTCCTATGGACAGATGCCAACACCGGCTAACGCGGCAGAAAATCCTTCTAAATAGAATATTTTTTTGTGTAGCCGGCCTTCGGCCGGGGATTTAAGACTTTCTCCTATGGACAGCTACCAACACCGGCTACGCGACAGAATCTCTTGTTAAATGGAATATTTTTTTTGGGTGACCGGCCTTCGGCCGGGGATTTAAGACTTTCTCATATGGACAGATGCCAACACCGGCTAACGCGGCAGAAAATCCTTCTAAATAGAATATTTTTTGTGTAGCCGGCCTTCGGCCGGGGATTTAAGACTTTCTCCTATGGACAGATACCAACACCGGCTACGCGACAGAATTTTCTTGTTTTTGTAGGGTTCTAAGGCCCATATCTTTTGATCCACAACAGATACAGCCACATATCGAACTATTTTGGAAAGGGCAAATTGTGGTCTATCATTTGAGTTTGGGTTAGAGAGGTACTATAATGGGCCCAAGTTCGACTTTTAGGGAGTTTTTCAAAAAAATCGGGGACCAAAACCCAGTTTTTTGACTATATCTCCAAAATGGTTTGAGATAACCCCATCATATTACCACTCAATGGAAAGGTATTTTTATAACCTTTAAAATGATACCCATATTATATTAACCGGATCCGTAGAACCGGATATAACCGGGTACCCGTACCCGAACTTCCGGGTCAAATAACCGGGTAACCGGGTACGTCCCCCAAGAAAAAAAGATATCCCCATAATTAGGGTAAAAATACCTACCTCTGGAAAATTTTTCAGAAAAATCTGATCGTTTTTACTAAACTAGAGTTAAGCCGTAATGGATAAAGTTAAATAGTAGCTTAGCTGCGCATGGAGACATGCCTCTGAACATTCTAACTTTTAGTAGGACGTGAGCCAGGAGGGAGAGGAGTTAATAGAAAAAAATTGTGACTGAAATTATAAAAATTTAATGAGTTAGTTAAAAAAAAATATTTTATCCAGGATCAAATAAAGCGTAGATTTATTAAAGAAAACCTTTGGCAGGATCAAAAGAAACGTGGAATACTTTTCAAGGCCATTTCATGTGCAGATTTTTTAAAAAATATTTTAGGCGTGGATTTTTTTTAAAGAACATTTTTCAGGGACCATTTAAAGCGTAGTTTTTTACAAAAGAGAATTTTAAGATACCACTTAAGGCGTAGTTTAAAAAAATAATATTTTTCAGGGACCATTTAAAGCGTAGTTTAAAAAAAAGAGAATTTTCAGGGATTATTTAAATCGTAGTTTTTAAAAAAGAGAATTTTAAGGTACCGTTTCAAGCGTGGATAAAAAACAGACATTTCAAAAGTAGGTTTTTTAATGAGTATTTTTCAAGGACCATTTCAAGTGCAGAGTTTTTACAGAATATTTTTGTCAGGATTAAATATATCGTAGATTTTTAAGGCTATATTTTCAGGGATCCTTTTGAGATTTTTAAAGAATATTTTTGAAGTACAGATTATTTAGAGAGTATTTTTACAGGATCCAAAAAAAGCGTAGATTTTTTAAGGGATATTTTCAGGGACCATTTGAAGCGTCGAAAGAATATTTTGGTAGACCTTTTCAGGTTTAGATTTTTAAAGAATTAAACAATTTAAATATAAATATAAAAAAATAAATTCTAAATGTAATAAAAAACAAGTTATCAGATGTTCGAAAAATATTTCTCTTTTGAAACAATACTTTGAATGTTTAAAAAAATGCATGCTTATTATTATTAATTTTTTAAATATTATTACTAATTCAGCCCAATCATCAAAAATAATTCCGTGCGGAATTTCTTTATTCTTCCCTTTTCCCAATCGTAAAGAAAATTCCGCGCGGAATTAAAGGGAGAAAGGAGAAAAAAGAAAGTTCGATTTGCACTTTCCTCTCAAAATATCTCACAAACAAAATCGAAGAGAGATAAAAAATGTAAGTATGGGTTTTCAAATATAAATCGAAATAGAAATAAATAAATCCTTTGTAGGTTGAAGACAAATAAAACCCAATTGCAGCATTCAGTGTCAGTTTTGGAATTACATCCTGACATTTCACGTGGAATCTATAAAGGGAGCAAAGAGTCTCTTACTCGGTTTTGAAAAAAAAAAAACGGAAAATGAGCTCAATTCGACGGGACCACCTAATAAGGGCATCACCGAATGGAAAAAAAGTTTAGTACTAAATTTATCACATTCCTTTGAATGAAATAATCTATTCATTACTTTAAATTACTTAAAATAGTTTTGGGCTGACCAAAAAAAAAAAATATGTAAGGCAAAAATCTGCACAGAATTTAAAATACAAAACAGGAACAGGAACTTTTTGGCACTTTTATCGACTTAGGACAATGTTGAGCTTCGAAAACAGTCAACACCTCGGAGAGGATAGAACTAAATGTTGATTGTGCCATACAAACATTCGAATCCTTCAGCAAAAAAATGTAACGCGGAATTCCAGACTTGTTTTTCCTTGTAGGAGTATGTTGCGCCAACACTTCCAACAAGTATTGGAAAGCTGGTTTGCTTACCCGGTAGTATTTTTGAATCTGTTGGAAATGCATATCAGATGTTTCAATTATTTTTAACTTTTATGCACTTACAATGATTGACAATCTTGTTGAAGTTCTTTGTTGCTCTCTGGAAGTAGCAACATCCTATAAATATGCTCTAAGTATAATACTATTCATTTTTGAGTTTCAATTCTATATTTCTTTTTAATTATTTCGTACGACACAAACACTTTAAATTTGCGCAAACAAATAAGGGTGCACAAAGAAAAAGACCCACCGTTGATTAAAAAGAGATGCCATATTTAAACAATTTTACTCCTATATTTTCTACGATTTGAGGATCTTTCACTCGAGAGTAATTCTTTCCGTAGGAATAGAATTTCTCCCACATTTTGGTGACTGGGCTGATTATTAACAAATAAATAAATTATTGTGCTTTGCTTTCATTAATGAAAAAAAACACTTCCCCCATTAAATAATAACGACGATTTGTTTTTTATAAATATTTTATTCTTTTTTTTTTTTTTGTTTTTAGTTTTTTTGTGTTTATAATTATATTTTATACTCTTTTCCGTTATAGATTTTTCTTATTAAATTTTCTTAAAATTACTAGCCAAATAGATGGTTAGCGTTGTTATAATAATAGTAAGTTGTATTTTGTTGTAATAATTATTACATATAAGAGTCTTAATAATTTGTTTATATACCGCGCATGTGTGTGTGTTTCATTTTTAATCTATTGAACAATTGTGCATTATTAATTATTTTTTTTTCTTTGCAAGTCAACAACAAGTACATGGTTATTTAAATTTTTTTTTAATTAATTGTTTCGGTAAATTTCGAATGCACTTTCATTTCACAACAAAAAAAAATTAATATATTATTTGTGTAGTTGTAATAAAATAGATATATTATTAATAAATTCTCTTTAATATCAATACATGCATGTATATATAATACACATTCAATTGTGTACATAAATTGATAACCATAATTGAGAACAATTTAAGTAGCAATTAGCAGCAAATATTAGAAAACCATTTTTTAAAAACTATTTGAGAGAGAGAGAAAAAAATAATTGGAAAGAAAAACCGACGACGAATAAAATTATGAGTGAAATTTTTTTCGTAATAATAAATGCCATGTAGGTATGTAAAAAAATAATGTAAATTGTGGTGGACCACAATAAGGAAAATGAAAGTTTACAAAAATTAAAGGGAATGAAAAACGACGACATGGTTGTTGGATGTTGTGGTTTTATGCAGAGGATATACACATTTCCCAGAATGAGTGAAGAAGAATTAGTAGCATGGTAAGGAAACACATATTTTTCTTGCTCTCACACACAATGTGATGCTTTATGATGCTTTTAGCCTTAGAGGGAGGGAGTGGAGGATCCATCCATTCGTACTCATCTTTTTTAAACAACTTAATTAAATTGTTCGGGCATCACATAGGAGATATCATCCCAAGGATGGCGGTAAAGTCCTTGTTTCAAACGTTTCTGATCCATGTAATGGCCAATGAAACCTATGCTGCGACCGAGCACAAACAAGGAATTGATGGCGCCAATATTAATGTACTCTTGGGCTTCCTCACTGGAATTTCAAAAAAAAAACTCCGTTATTAAAACCTGAAATCTTCGAAAAACATTCCCCCCCATTACCTGGTAAATGATCCACAGTTGCGCAACATATCAACGAAACAGGTGGCAATGACACCATCAACATTGAGAATCAAATTGGGTTTTTTGCTGGTGGTAATCTTTTCGACTTCCAAGGCATATTTCAATAAGGGGCAGGCGGGGAAGTTATCCATAACAAATTCTTTGATGATCTTGACACGCACATCGGGATTGTTAATGGATTTGACACGATGTCCAATACCCATAATCAATTGACCCTTCTTGCGCATTTGATTTACGAAATCCATGGGATGTAAGTTGGAGTCATAGGCCTCGGAGAATTGGCGAGCAGCACCATCAAGAGCACCACCAAAACGATCACCCTGAAAAACAATAAAATATAAAGAATATTAATAAGAAGTTTAAAGAAGTTTTTTATTTAGGATTTTAAAATAAGTATATTTTCTGATCTGAATCTGAACTTCTAAAAATTTCAAATTTTTTTAAATTTTACTTACAATTGTCAAAAGGCCACTGACAACCGAGGACACCAAATCCTTGCCGGCACGAGCACACACAATTGTGTTGTGAGCACCAGATACAGCTGGCCCGTGATCTGCCGTGACCATCAAACACATTTCAAAGAATTTACAGACGTAGGGTGGCAAACAACGTTGGAACCACAACAGAGAAATAACACCACCAATACCAACATCCTTATTCAAAACTTCACTAATCGGCATACCGGCATAAATCAACTCCTGTCCTCTTTCATCACAAATGGAGGTCATAAAACTCGCCGGTTTGCGAATCAAGCCCAATTCACGAGCCCAGGCATAATCCATGGGCACAGTGGGTGGTGGAACTTCTTCGCGTGGCACTATACGTCCCGATTTCACCAATTCCGCATAGACTTGTTGCACCAAATCACCCAATGAATCAAACGAATCGGGTACATAGGCGCCGGCTTCACGCAGCGCCTTATTCTTTGCCGTGGCAGTTTCACGATCCGAATTGGCACATGAACCAGCATGACCAAATTGTACCTCGGATGTGAACATTGAGGCACAGGTACCAATACACCAGGCCACCAAGGGTTTGGTAATGCGGCCATCCTTAAGGGCAGCACACACCTCATATTCCTCGGTGCCACCTACTTCGCCAAGTAGAACAATTAACTTGGCATCGGGATCATTTTGATAGCGCATAATGTGATCCATAAATGTGGTGCCGGGGTAACGATCTCCGCCAATGGCAATGCCCTCCAAAACACCATCAGTGGCCTTTGAAATTATGTTATTCAATTCATTCGACATACCACCAGATCGCGAGACATATGCAACACTGCCGGGGCGGTAGAGTTTCGAATGCAAAATATTGTCCAACATACCACCAGTGTTGCCAATCTTAAAGCAACCTGGCTTAACGCCACCGACTGTGGCAGGTCCAATGATCGCCACACCTTTCTTATTTGCAGCCAATATCATTTTGCGTGTCATATTTTCGGGTATACCTTCAGCGATAATGGCCACGGTGCGTATTTGTGGATATTCCAAAACTTCCAATGTCGATTCATAGGCCGAACGTAAGGAGGCAAAATTCACCATAACATCAACTTCTTTGTGTTTATTAATGGCATCGGACATTTTCTTGTAGACGGGAATCAGAATTTCCGTATGACCCCAGTAGAATTTTTGCTTGTGATCACCGGTGAACGGGTAGACCATGGCAACAACAGATGGTTCATCGCGTCTGTAGAGGGAAAAGAAGAGAAGAAAATATTATTTTCAAGGATCAGCCAAAGGCATCGATTTCTTAGAGATTTTTTAAGGACAAGCTCAGATCTAAGCCGGAATTTTTTAAGACTTGCAAGAGTTATTTTTTGGATTTTTTAGAGAAGATTTTTAAATAATCTGGAAGTTCACTAAGAAAAAAAGAATAATTTTTTCAAGGACCTGAAGTTTTCTAAGCGTGGATTTTTTAAAGAATAATTTTTAAAGGACCTGAAGTTCTCTAAGCGTTGATTTTTTATAGAATATTCTTTCAAGGACCTGGAGATCTTCGAGCTTGGATTTTTAAAGAATATTCTTTCAAGGACCTGGAGATCTCCGAGCGTGGATTTTTTAAAGAAGGACATGAAGTTCTTTCTCTAAGGGTGGATTTTTTAAAGAATAATTTTTCAAGGACCTGAAGTTCTCTAAGCGTGGATTTTTTAAAGAGTAATTTTTTAAGGACCTGAAGATCTCTAAGCGTGGATTTTTTAAAGAATAATTTTTCAAGGACCTGAAGTTCTCTAAGCGTGGATTTTTTAAAGAATAAGTTTTTAAGGACCTGAAGTTCTCTAAGCGTGGGTTTTTTAAAAAATATTTTTTCAAGGACTTGGAGTTTCCTAAGTGTGGATTTTTTTAATTTTTTAAAGAATATATATTTTTTAAGGATCTTGAGAGCTCCATCGTGGATTTTTAAAGAATTATTTTTTCAAGGACCTGGAGAGCTCCATCGTGGATTTTTAAAGAATTATTTTTTCAAGGACATGGAGAGCTCCATCGTGGATTTTTAAAGAATTATTTTTTCAAGGACCTGGAGAGCTCCATCGTGGATTTTTAAAGAATTATTTTTTCAAGGACCTGGAGCGCTCCATCGTGGATTTTTAAAGAATTATTTTTTCAAGGACCTGGAGAGCTCCAATTGTGGATTTTTAAGGAATAATTTTTTCAAGGATCTGGAGATTTTAATTTTTTTTTAATCGTGGATTTTTTAAAGAATATTATTTTAAGGATCTGGAGAGCTACAATCATGGATTTTTTAAAGAGTATTTTTAAGGTACGAGAGAACTCCAATTGAGGATTTTTTAATGAATATTTTTCTATTCTATCTATTATAAAATTTTTTTTAACTCACCTGCAAATGAAATCGAAATCCAACATAGATTGTACGGCTCTCTGCTGCATACCCCAGACGATGGCTTTGGTCTTGTTTGTGAAGAATTTACGGGTTAGATTAACGCCACCATCAGCAACGTCATTGTTGATTTTCGTATCATCTGCCGAGATAGGTGGGAGTTTAATCGTTTGTTGGGGTGAACCTAAACCTTTTTTGTTCGATTTTGATTCGAGATTTTGGGTGTAGGTGGTGTGTTTTTGATTGTGATTGATTTTGAGATATGATTTTTTTTTTCAACATTACCAGACACATACAATGAATGATTTTTTGTTGCAAATTTGTTTTTTTTTATTTTTCAAGGATTTTGAATAGTAAACACATTTTATTTTTCGCAGGCACACAGTGGACGATCACGAAACGGCACAGGATTTTTGGATACGAGAGATACAACATACGCGCGCACACATTACGTAGGACGGACGTAGGAGATGATGGTGGTGGTGACAATTCATCAAACGGTGGTGGGGAGAAATAGGAGAGAACATACACAAACAAAGAATGGGGGATAAAAGGTGATACCAAAATAATAACAATAACAATCAAACAAATTATCAAGGGGAGATAGGGATACAATACAATATAAAAATAGACAGAACAGAATAGACAATAAGACACAAACATGATTAGTTGAGATGTTAGTTTGGGGAATAATGGGAATGGGGAAAATTAGGAAAATAGTGATTTTTTAATGAAATGTAATAATTTTTATAGTATATTAAAGTCAACATTATCACAATAATATAAAAAATTGCCAA